TTCGCGAGGGCTCGGGCTCGGCGGCGAGCCCAAGCAGGCGCAGAGTGCCGAAGCGTTCTCCGAAGCAACTGGAGGCAGACTGCCGCGCGCCGGTGCCCCCCCCTGCGCGGGGCGCGACGGGGCTTAGCGCCCTCGGGGAGCCATGAGATCACGACTTGCGGTATTTTGGGGGGTGCGGGACGGCACACACCCGCCGCTCGCCCAGGGAGCAGGACTAGCTGAGTTCACGAAGAGGCTCGTTCAGATGCAGAGTGCCTGAAAAGGTCCGCGGCTACGAGGAGCAGATGGGAAGCGTTTTCTCTGCCTGGCCCAACGGTCAAGAGCGTCAGCCTGCCTGCTCTGGCCCACTGAACTGCGCGCTGGCGAAACGCGAAACAGAAGGCAACGCTGTCACCGTCGAACCCATGACGCAACAGAATGAAGAGATGAAATGACATACAGGAGCAAGGTGATGCCAGCGTTGGCTTTCATTACATGAGCTCCTTGCATCCTTCATCTCGGCAACGCACCGCCAGAACTTTCGTCGAAGACGGCTCTGCGCTGTCTTTCGGCAAATGCGCGTGCAAGCGCCCACGGCCACGCCCGGGCTGCGAGCACGTGGCGTCCACCCGTTGGCCCCAGTGAAATCTCACAGTCACGACCTGGTCGAGCGCCTCGCCCCAATGGGACGCCAGAGTCTCCCACTCCGCCAGTCTCCCAACCCCCGTGGCGCAGCGCCGCGCGCCGCCAGAAGCGCACAACCGCAGCACTGCATGCATCCACGCCTTCACAGCAGGGCACCCAACGCGCCATGGGAGTGCAGAGCACCCCGCCCCAGCCTGAAGACCCTGGCAGTGCTGCTGTGGCCGCTGCCGCTGGCGCTTCTGACTGCCCTCCGCCTGCTCGGGATGGCTGGCGGACGCAGGGAAGAGGAGGAGCAGAAGAAAGAGAAAGAGGAGGAGGCGGAGGAGGAGGAGGAGGAGAAGAAAGAGAATGAACAGGAGGAGGAGGAGGAGGAGGAGAAGGAGGAGGAGGAGGAGGAGGAGGAGGACCAGGGTGCTCCTGCTGCGCCGCAGGCTCCACAGCGTTGCGCGCGCTGCCACGCAGAGCGGCCACTTCGCTTTGAGCGCGATCGCACACGGGGTTAGCGGCCCTCCGACGCCGGGGGGGGGGTGAAGAGGAGGAGGAGGAGGAGGAGAAGGAGGAGAAGGGGGGGAGGAGGAGGAGGAGGAGGAGGAGGAGGAGGAGGAGGAGGAGGAGGAGGAGGAGGAGGAGAAGGAGGAGGAGGAGGAGGAGGAGGAGGAAAAGGAGGAGGAGGACCAGGGGGAGGGCTCCGGGCTCCCAGAGAAAACCCCCGTCCGACGGAGGAGTCGCCGTCGCCGCCGCCCTTCGCCGCCGCCGCCGCCGCCGCCGACCGCATCGCAATCGTCGCCGTCTTCGCCATCGTCGCCGCCGCCGCTGGCCCACTCCAGAGCAGAGGCCCTCAGCACCGCGGCTGCATCTGCCACCGCGTCGGAGGAGGACGAGGGAGGGAGGGAGGGAGGGAGGGAAGGAGGGAAGGAGGGAGGGAGGGAGGGAGGAGGTAGGGTAAGGCGCTGGGGGGGCTGAATCCGCTCGGGCGGAAAACCGAATGGGCCCTTCTGGCCTCCCTGCGACGGGACACGTGGGCAGGACCCCCCTCTTGGGCCTGCACGCGGGAGCGGGCGAGGGGCTCAAGCCCAAGGCCCGCTGCCGTCACGCGGGGGGGCACCCCCTGTAGAGGTTGAGCTCAACAAAATTATGGGGGGTGGGGAACCGTCGCCTCATCACGTGAGGGTCAGGCCCCCCTGACCGAATTGCAGGGGGGAGGAGGAGAGGACAGGAGACGGGCGACGGCGGCACGAGCGGCTGCGGCTGAGGAGGAGGAGGAGGAGGAGAAACCAGAAGCAGCTGCTCCTCGTCTCCCTCCCCCCCCCCTGCCGGCAGTGGCCGCTGGAGGCCCCCTACAGTCCTCCCTGGAGAGCCTGCGGGAGGGGCCCCGAGGAGCCCCAGGGCAGGGCTGAACCTGAACGGTGCTTTTCGCTGTCGTTTTGTGTTCGTTTTTTTCCTCGTGTTGTCCTCGATCCGCCTCCTCTTTCACGCAGAACGGCACCGAGACGGAAACGGCCCACGAAATCGCCAAGACACCGTTGAGGTCCACCCCTGCCCCAGGACCCCGGCAACCTCCCCCGGATCGCGCCCAGACCCCCCTGGGGCGTCATGATGCTCTCTTTTGACCCTACTAGAAACCTATCAGTCTTCGCTGTTAGGTAAAAACACCGTTTAGGTCCACCCCTACCCCGGGACAGGGCCGAGAGCGAGCGGCACGGCGGCCAACGAGGCCCCCCCCCCCACAAAGAAGCCGCACGGCGTGCCGAGGCTGCCGTGCGAAGTGCCCGGGAGGGCCCCCCCCGAAGCGCCCGGCCCAGTCACATCGTGAGTGCCACCGGCCCTCGGGGCGGAGGTGGTTCAAGGCGCTTCCTCCTCCTCCTCCTCCTCCTCCTCCTCCTCCTCCTCCGCCTCCTCCTCCTCCGCCTCCTCCTCCTCCTCAGCCGCAGCCGCTCGTCCCGCCGTCGCCCGTCTCCTGTCCTCTCCTCCTCCCCCCCACAATTCGGTCAGGGGGCCTGACCCTCACGTGATGAGGCGACGGTTCCCCACCCTCCATAATTTTGTTGAACTCCCTCTTCCAGCACCCTTCCTTCACCCTCGGGACGGGGTTCGCAGCCGCCAACCAGGGTCAATGCCGACCCCCCCGCCATCCCTGTCAAAACCAAGAAACAGCATGCGCGGCCAAAATTGAGATCATGCGCCAGCGCTCCGCTATAACTTGGCATTGTTATTTTAACAGGGACAGGAGGGGGCCCTCATATTGCCCCCGGGAATGCAGGCCCACTATCCCCGTCAAAAACCAATGCACGCTGCGGCAAATGTTTGACCATGCGTTGGAGCCCCGCGATCATTGTGCATTGTTTTGGGGCAGAGACGATGGGGATGCCATGGCACGTGCAGTGCACTTCGCGGTCGCGCGCATGGCTTGCTGTCGATGGCTGTCGATGGCGGCCCCTGCCTGTGCTGAGACTCGGGTGTTTCTTCTGTGGTGGAAGGACGGGTGGGAGTGAGCGAGACGGCCGTCTTGCGGGAGGTAGCTTGACCCCTTTCCCCATGTCCCCATACCCCCATACCCTGGGTCTAAACGGGTGTGGGCCGACCAGCTAGAGCGTCCATGATTACCCTAGATGACTCCAGGATGGCTCTAGATAGCGCGATATAATTTCCCAGGACGGCACACAAATAACTCAAAATGGTCTACCCGATGCCTCCAATAATCATCATCAGCAGCAGCATCATCATCGTCGTCATCATCATCAGAATAATAAGCATCATCATCATCATCATCATCATCATCATCATCATCATCATCATCATCATCATCATCATCAACATCATCAGCATCATCACTCACAATCATCAGCAGCATCAGCATCAGCATCAGCATCATCATCCCCATCATCACCACCATCACCATCCTCATCAGCACAATCAGCACAATCAGCATCAGCATCAGCGTCAGCGTCAGCATTATCATCATCATCATCATCATCATCATCATCATCATCATCATCACCATCACCATCGTCAGCATCATCGTAAACTGCATCATCCTCATCAGCAGAATCATCACCAACACCACCGTTATCAGCATCATCATCATCAGCATCATCATCATCATCAGAAGCCTCATCATCATCATCAGCAGCAGCAGCATCAGCATCATCATCTTCTTCATCGTCATCATCATCACCATCATCATCATCATCATCACCGTCCCATCATCATCATCATCGTCATCATCATCAGCAGCAACAGCATCATCATCAGCATCATCAGTATCATCATTATTATCATCGTCATCCTCATCTTCATCATCATCAGCATCATCGTCGCCGTCGTTATCGCCATTGTTGTCGTCGTCGTCAGCTTCGTCATCGTCATCGTCAGCGTCGTCGTCGTCGCCAGCGTCAGCGTCAGCAGCAGCAGCAGCATCAGCATCAGCATCAGAATCATCATCATCATCATCATCATCATCATCATCATCATCATCATCATTAGCATCAGCATCAGCATCGTCATCATCGTCATCATCAGCAGCATCATCATCAGCATCAGCATCAGCATCACCAGCATCAGCGTCACCATCATCATCAGCATCATCAGCATCATCAGCATCAGCATCAGTACCATCACCATCATCATCAGCACCATCAGCACCATCATCATCATCATCATCATCATCATCATCATCATCATCATCATCATCATCGTCGTCAGCATCATCATCCGCGTCCCCATCATCACTAGCAGCATCATCCTCACCACAATCACCAGAACTAAGCATAACAGTTGAAGCAGCATCATCAGTATCAGCATCAACAGCATCGTCATCATCATCCGTACCACCATTAGCCTAACATGAAGCAGCATCATCATTGTCGTCGTCATGCACATAGTCATCATCAGCAGCAGCATCATCAACATCATAAGCATCAGTATCATCCAACATCGTCGTGATCATCATCAGCAGCATCATCTTCAGCATCAGCATCACCGTCATCAGCGTCGTCGTCATCATTATCGCCGTCGTCGTCGTCATCGACATCGTCATCGTTATCGTTATCGTTATCGTAAGCATCATCATCATCAGCATCAGCATCAGCATCATCATCATCAGCATCATCATCTTCATCTTCAGCCTCATCATCAGCGTCGTCGTCATCAGTATCATTATCCGTACCATCACCACCACCACCACCAGCATTATCATCATCACCACCACCACCATCATCAGCGGCATCAGCATCCGCATCAGCATCAGCATCAGCAGCAACATTATCGTCATCATCAGCATCATCATCCCCTCCTGCGCCTCCTCCGCCTCTGTACTTTTTGCGTCCGCGCGCACGCGAGGGCGCGGACCCCCCCCCCCTCCCCCCCGAGGGGCGGTCCATGAGCAGCTCCACACGCTCCTCGTGCCAGTTCGGGTTGCAGCGCGCGCCGATGCTGTCCAGCGACCTGCCAGGCGCGGCCGCCGCCGTCGTCTTCTCCGTCGTCGCCGCCGCCGCCGAAGAACTCGAGCGGCGTGTGGGTGGCCCTGGGGAGGGGCTCCCTCCCCAGGGCTATACCCCCCATCATCAACAGCAACATCCTTCCCTCCCTCCCTTCATCATCAACAACACCATCATCAACATCATCATCAGCAGTATCATCATCAACAGCAACATCCCTCCCTGGGGAGGGCTCCCTCCCCTCGTCTTCACCAACAGCAACACCATACGAGTCGGATGCTACTTCCCCCCCTCCCCCGCGGCGCCCTCCCGAGGGTGGCGCGCCGCCCTCCGCGTATTGTTTTCTTGCACACAGCACTGGTCCGAGGTGCTTGTTCTGGCGCTTTCGCTTCCAAGCCGAGCGTTATCGGCCATTCCAACACGGCGCTCCCGCTGCAGCGCGTGCCCGATGTTAGGATCGGCGCTCTGCTCCTGGCCTCCAGGAGGGCGCTGTCGCCCCAGCGCGGACAGCAGTTCTGGATCCGAGCTCCTCGTCATCGTTGTCGTCCCCCTCCTTCCCCGTGTTCCGCCTTCCTCTGGCCCTCCTGCTCCTCCCGATCCTTCTACTCCAGCTCCTGCTGCTTTTCGTCGCCTTCCTCATCCTTGCTCATCCTCCTCTGCTTTCTCCTGCTCGTCCTCCTCCTCATCCTCCCCCTTCTTCTCCTCCCCCTCCTCCTCCTCCTCCTCCTCATCCACATCCTCCTACTCCTCCTCCTCGTCCTCCTCCTCCTCACCCTCCATTGTAAGCAACTCCCCGCTTACGATTACGCACAAAACGATAGGGGTCCTTTTTGAAATTCCAGGTCTGATATGACACGCGTCGCCGGATATGGAAAAAAAGCAACGGGATGGGAAGGGATGGATGGGGAGGGTAGGATGTCAGATATGGCGCGATCGCACCTAGTTTGTCCTCCTATTCCTCCTGCTCCTCCTGCTCCTCCGCCGCATCCTCCTCCGTATCCGCCTCCTTCATGTTTCCCATCCTCCCCCTGTTCCTCCTTCTCCTCCTCCTCCTCCTCCTCCTCCTCCTCCTCCTCCTCTTCCGCCTCCTCCTCCGCCTCCTCCTCCTCATCCTCCTCATCCTCCTCATCCCCCCCCTCGATCCCCCCTCCTCCACCTCCTCCTCCTCCTCCTCCTCCTCCTCCTCCTCCTCCTCCTCATCATCACCACCACCACCACCACCATCATCATCATCATCATCACCACCACCACCACCACCACCACCACCACCACCACCATCATCATCATCATCATCATCATCATCATCATCATCATCATCATCATCATCATCATCATCATCATCATCATCATCATGATCCACATCATCATCATCCTCCTCCTCCTCATCATCATCATCAGAATCATCATCATCCTCATCATCATAATCATCATCAGCATCGTCGTCATCATCATCGTCATCGTCATCGTCATCGCCATCATCAACATCATCATCATCATAATCATCATCATCATCATCATCATCAGCATCATGATCATCATCAACATCATCAGCGGCATGCTCATCATCAGCATCATCATCATCCTCATCATCATCAGCATCATCAGCATCATTATCATAATAATAATCAGCATCATCATCTTCAGCAGCATCATCATCGTCACCATCGTCATCATCATCAGCGTCGTCATCGCCACTGTTATCGTCGTCGTCAGCATGGTCATCGTCATCGTCAGCGTTGTCGTTGTCGCCAGCGTCAACGTCAGCAGCAGCATCAACATCAGCATCATCAGCAGCAGCGTCATCATTAGCATAAGCATCAGCATCGTCGCCATCATCCATCATCATGAGCAGCATCATTATCAGCATCACCATCATCAGCATCACCAGTCGTCGTCATCATCATCATCATCATCATCATCAGCATCGTCATCATCATCACCACCATCCTCACTACAGCCACCACAACCACAGTTATCATCAGCATCATCATCACCAGCAGCATCATCAGCATTATCAGCATCAGCAGCACCAGCATCATCAGCATCAACATCATCATCATCATCATCAGCATCATCATGATCAAAATCATGATCAACATCACCATCATCATCATCATCATCATCATCATCATCATCTTCATCATAAGAATCGGCGTCGTCATCATCATCATCATCATCATCATCATCATCATCATCATCATCATTATCATCACCGTAACCGTCAGCATCATTACCGTCATCGTCATCGTAATCGTCATGAGCATCATCATCATCATCATCATCATCAGCAGCATCAGCATCAGCATCAACAGCAGCGTCAGCATCAGCATCGTCATCCTCATCTGCATCCGCATCAGCATCAGCGTCAGCGTCAGCATCATCATCAGCGTCATCAGCATCATCATCAGCATCAGCATCAGCATCATCATCAGCATCATCATCATCGTCAGCAGCAACACCAACATCAGCATCAGCATCAGCATCACCATCATCTGCAGCAGCAGCATATTAATCAGCATCAGCATCATCATCAGCATCAGCATCAGCATCAGCATCATCATCGTCATCAGCATCATCATCAACATCAGCATCAACAACATCATCATCGTCTTCATAATTGCCATCATCATCATCAGCAGCATCATCATCAGCAGGAGCATCATCGTCATCGTCGCCATCGCCATCGCCATCGCCATCGCCGCTTCTGCTCAGACCCGTGCCCATGCCAGCGTCGCTGGGCGCCTCTCGCACCTTGCGTCGCTGGGAGGCGCTGGGCGCCTCTCGCACCGTGCGTCTCGCGCCGTGCGTCAGCCAGTGAGGGTGAGCGACCCTGGAGTGGGTGCGGCGGTGCGGCCTGCAGGGTCATCAGCATCCACATCATCATCATCATCATCATCATCAGCAGCAGCATCATCATCATCATCATCATCATCATCATCATCATCATCATCATCATCATCATCATCATCATCATCATCATCATCATCATCATCATCATCATCATCATCATCATCATCATCATCATCATCATCATCATCATCATCATCATCATCATCATCATCATCATCATCATCATCATCATCATCATCATCATCATCATCATCATCATCATCATCATCATCATCATCATCGCAGCAGCAGCATCAGCAGCATCATCCCCTCATCATCATCATCATCATCATCAGCATCATCATCATCATAATCAGCATCAGCATCATCATCATCATCATCATCATCAGCATCATCAGCAGAAGCATCGTCATCACCATCGTCATCAGCACCAGCATCAGAAGCATCACTAGCATCAAAAAGCATCAACATCAACATCATCATCAGCATGGTCATCATCGTTTTCATCATCATCATCATCATCATCATCATCATCGTCATCATCATGATCATGATCATTTTCATCGGCATCATCATCTTCAGAATCCACATCATCCTCGAGATTATCCTCATCCTCAGCCTCGTCATCATGCTCATCCTCCTTCTCATCACCATCCGCGTCCTAATCATCATCCTCACCCTCATCCTCATCATCGTCATCATCATCATCCTTCCACCACCACCACCATCATCATCATCATCACCATCAGCATCATCCCCCTGATCATCATCAACATCATCAACATCATCATCAGCATCACCATCATAACCAGCATGATCATCATCACCACCGTCATCATCATCAGCAGCATCATCATCATCATATCAGCATCATCACCATCAGCATCCTAAAACAGCATAACCACCATACCATCATCATCGTCATCATCATCTTCCTGCACTTCCTCCTCCGACGGCGAGGGCAACGACACGAGGACGAGGACCAGGACGAATAGGAAACCGATGACGACGCCGACGACGCCGACGACTCAACGTGGCGCGGCCGCCTGCAGTGCCGAGACGCGTCCTTGAGCGACTGCTGCCAACGGGCCAGGTCGCTCTCGGACTGCCAGAACCTCCTGCCGGCGGAGTAAGCGGCACGGCCGGTGGAGGCGACTACGTCCCTTCCTCCCCCCGCCTGCCGAAGGAGGAGGAAGAGGAGGAGGAGAAGAATAGGAGGAGGAGGAAGAGAAGGAGGAAGGGTGAGGAGGAGGAAGGGTGAGGGCTATGAAAGGAGGAAGAGGAAGGGAGGAGGAGGAAGAGAGGAGGAAGAGGAGGAGGAGGAAGGGTGAGGGCTATGAAAGCGTATTTTCGGTACGCAAATGTATAAGGCGATGTGAATGCACTTTCGCGCGAATGAGGCGGGCGCGGTATAAGACCCCTTGAACCAAATAGCCGCAAAGAACAAACCAGCACGACACCTTTTGAACATCAAAAAGTCGCAAATATGTTTTCTCTTTTTCTCGAAACCTAGGTCACATGGTGGACGACCGGCTGCCTATTTCCAGCGCGAGTTTCCTCACAGCCTAGGCCGCTTCATCTAGAGCAATCGATTCAGCCGTGAAGGAAGAAATCGAATCGCTGGATTTGCAGTCGCAACGTCCTCGGAGGAAACTGACAAGACAGGACCACCGGCTTTTCATGGTATAGTTGACCAAGTAATCGGCTCGAACATTCCACGTTCGTTGCTGCCAGCAGACCATATCGTCAATGTCTCGCGCCGGGCGCCAATCGGACTGAAACATGCTGAAGATGTTACGGGTAATGCGCTCGAACATGGGAGCCACACTAGGATCCGAAAGCACGGTCGCCCCGTTGATCACGCTGGCCAAAGGCTTATACTCTGCTATAAACACGATGCGTTTTTTATGGTCCTCACACTTTATACCAGGAACACCGTCGCCATGGCAGTCTGGCAACTGGTCCAAGGAATGGGTGGCGACTCTTCTCCGTTTAGGGCAGGTTTGGGTCATGTCGTTCACGGGCGCACCAACGTCAGCACTGTACTTGAACAGCCCCCACAACTCGCAAAGGTGCGATTCGAACTGTGGGAAACACGCCATCCACTCTGACTCCGCGCTGCATTGGTCTCGCTTGCTCCTCCAGTCAATTCCGAAAACAATCACACAAAAACATCTTCCCATTCGACGCGATGGCCGTAACCGTCGTGGACCAGGCCTAATTTTCGTCGTTTGCGCTAGCTGCCCAGCGCTTGCAAAAATGCCCACCACTGCCGTGTGCGAAAATTCCGACTGCAACAATAATAGTTTGACCCATTTGGTGGACAGGAATATTTCTCTCGACAAGAACCTCTACATACGTTCATCAAAATACGACTGTGAAGTGGTCGGATCTGGCATGATTGTAATTGACGCTCTAGAAACCTAGCGCTGCGGAGCATAAACTGCCCGTGGCCTTCTCCTGGATTGCCCCGGAATCTGAGCACGCGCCGCAACAGGTTGGATTCCCATGTCTATACGTTCAAGAGAGCGCGTTGTGAAAGATGCCACGATGCTGACTCACAGGCTGCACTTGCCGCAGGTCCTCTCGCCCACGCCTCCAGCTTTAAACTGACACTCCCACGCCCCTCCAGAACTCGGCTGTTGCTCAAAAAGTTTCTCTCGGCAGCGCCTAACCTATGATCTACGCCTGTACTACAATCGCCCTGGGAACTCAACATGACACCCAAAGCTAGCATGCTCTGAACGAGGCTGAAATTGCAGGCCATCTGTCGCGACCGCAAAACCTTCGACGCCCTCCCTCGCGATGGGGCCGCGCAACGTGCATTCGAGTGAACTGGTAGCCCGGAGCAACGATGCCGGTCGTGACATCCTGGACCATGCGAGTTAACTCAGCGATAGGGCACACAAGAAAGAAAATGTCATCGGCCCGAATCGGATGCGCCACTCGCCGCGAACCGCCCTCGCCCTGAGCGAAGCCGCAACCGCGTTGAGACCACTTCCCGATTCATGTTCCAAAAGCGAATTCAAGCATCATGTTAAACTCTTCTGGCGCCTCGATACCCCCCCGTTTGCCTCCGCGCCCCAGGCCAAAGCGATCGGCGGGGTCGGCGCCCGGCAGGGTGAGGTTGCATTTCGCGCCCGACACTTCACGCAGTAAAACTTTCGCCGAAAAAAGGACGCGTTCCCCGGGATGCGAGCGCCGAGGTCGCGCGCCCACGCCCCACGCTGTCGAACGCGGTCTCGACGCCCAGAGCTCCTAGAACAAGAGTTCTGCCCCAGCGACCCGCCGCGGAAATACATTGGCTGAGCGCGCAAACGACGCTATCGCACGAACATCCAGATTTGAACCCAAGCGTGGCAATGCGACTGGTGGATATTGACCGTTGGAAATGCGGTTGAAGGCTCCACACGCACCATTTCGAACAAACGTCCAGCCTACCAACCCACCGAAATCCAAACAAATATCTCGGGTTCATAATCTCTGGAACGTCAATGAAATGACTCGTCTTCCAGCTCGCCAGATCCGGAGACGTGTGATCAGGGGGGGGGAACAATAAAAAGAGAAGAAGAGAGCGAAGAAGGAGGGCCCCCCCCAACAAAAAAAAAAAAAAAAAAAAACGACGCGCAGAATACTTTTAAGATTAGCATGCGCTGAATTGGGGCAGCGCTCTGCGCATCCCCGGAACAGGCCCTCCCCTGCAGCACGCGCCACGGAGAAATCGAATGCCCAAGTCGCCCGTCTAGGCAATCCTGCACGTCATGCGCGCCGCGATCATTCCCGTCGCGTTGCCCGCCGAACTATAGTGCGCCTTCTCTCTGCATCTCTCTGTCCACGGCAGCGGTGCCATTGAACGACACGGTAGCGGGCGGGCGTTTTCCGCCAGGGAGTGGCCCTTCAGGTTCGCATCACGACTCACCCGCGCGGCGTCGCGGATTTTGCCCCTGAGCCCTTGGATTCAGATATTCTACACATCCAGCTTAGCGTTTGCAACGGCTCCCCGGGCGAGCTCAGCCGGATTGTTCGCCTCGCGTCTAACGCGGCGCAGTCGACTACGAACCGCCTGGAAATTGACGCCGACGGCTGCTCGCAGCGCACACGGCTAGCACGCGGCTAAATCGACGCCGACATGATCCATGCAAACTTGCCGAAAACAAGATAGATCTGACGATGTAGATGGCCACCGGCATTTCAGGGAAGGCGTCGGCGGCACTTCATGGCTCAATGCGCTGCGGCGCGCCGGCTGAGCAAGAACTGGTCTGCGATCAGAACGATTAAACAAGTTATGATTCACTATCTGGGCCCACGCCCCCCCGTAGATACTGGAAGAAACACCTGAAGTCGATCCGGGAGTTCGCCTTCCCAGCGGCGGCCATGGCGCGGGCCCACAAGCGCTTTGCCTACAGCACCCCATCCACCTCCACCCTTGAAGTGCGAAGCGCGCTGACCAAACGAACTCCCGTTGGCTCCATCCAACAACTAACCGCTGAAATCTTTGAACGCGAACAACTTTGACATCTGTCCAAAACTGCGCCCCCCGTCATGGCGTTCAAGAGCGCTGGGAACTGAACGTCGGCATCGACACCTAGAACGATTTCGAACTCCGCTGAAGAGTAAGCTAGGCGAACACGTTGGACAAGTAGCGAAGTTTCCTCAAACGCCAGCTGCGCCCTTCCATCGTCGTCGGGATGGTCTAGAATGCGTGCTGAGATGTAAATAACATTGCCCGCCGCGGCTCCAAACCAATAGTCGCCCGAACTGCGCCCCCTGAGCGCACGCGTCCGGGATCCAGGAACAATGAGGGCACAGTCACGCTGCCCCGCAGACGGAACAATGCGGCCACAATCAACAAATTCACGCAGATCACCCCATCTATGTACCTCCTGTACAAGCACCACAAGTCCCCCGCAAAGTTCCGAAGCTCTTTTTACGCAATCTTCTCGCAGCCCAAACTTCGTTTTTTCGGGTGCTCCAAGAGACGACGGTGGAACAACTTTGCGATGACTTCGGGGCGTCTCACGACGACCGGAAGGCCCGCTATCTCTCCTCGAATACGGCGGGTGCGGATCCAAAGTTCCTGCGAAGGGCCGCACCATCCCAAACTACCTTCCCCCTCTCGCCCACTGCTCCCATGACCCTCTCATGAACGCCCTTCCCCGCGATCAGTTCGAAGTCGGGAGGGCCGGCGCGCTTGGCGACGCTGGCCGCGCCCAGGTCCTTGGCCTTAGTCTCTACGTGCGCCCCGGCCTTGTCGCCCGCCTCGAACTGCCTCTGGTCTTTCAGCGACTTCTGGACAGAAGCGGACAGCTCGTTGCCGCGATGCTGACAGTTCGCCCCGCCCCCCTTCGAATCTCTGAGAAGCACGGCTATATCCGCGGCGCGCGGCGGCGCGACGCGCGCGCACCATGAACTCGTTAACCTTTGATCCTCGGACCTCGACCTCGCCCACCTTGGTGGCTAAGTTGATGTCGATAGCGCTCTTGAGCTGGCTCGTCAATGCTATGGCCTCTGGCATGGTCATGCCTACCGACTTACGACCCTCCCACTCGCAGATACCCGGGATCTCGATGTAAGATGGCACGAACGAGGACTGCGGATCCTCGATCTTCTCTTCAGCCGACTGTCGACGCGCTTAATGTTTTCCTTGAGCGGCGCGAGGACCCCCTCGAACTTCGCGTCAAGAAGTGCGCCCATATTCTCGAGAGTCAAAGCCATGCTACCTCGAACGTGTAAGGGTTCAGGAGGGAACTGCACGGGTAGGCGAAATATAGCATCCATGTAACCTCCATGTTTTCCTTCGCCCTTCCCTTGAACCGTGAACCAACTTGTGTGAACTACTTACGTTGTATGACCTGCGCCTCTGTTGGGCGAGCCCATTGACGAATGCCCCCCCGCGAGCCTTCCACGAATCATGAGAAAGTAGCTACGGGAAACAAATGCCAACGAAATCTTCTACATCAAGCGAGCAGGCTTTGGCGGGGAAGCGGAGAACCATTGCGCCCCCAAAAAACGGCTCAACGCGCATGGACGACGGCCTCAGACGGCCCCAAAATGCCCCAAGACGGCCCCAAGGTTACCCAAAACGGCTCAAGAGTCCAAACGTATGAGATTAGTTCAG